CACATCCTAACTACCTGTAACTCCATCTCCAGGGCATTCAACATCCTCTGGCCTCGGCAAGGACCCGCAGTCATATGCACATATCCACACACATGCATACGCATAGTAGAAATAAAAATAAATCTTTAAAAGCGATTAAGAGTTTAAAGATTCATTTAGTCTTTGAGTGAGTGAATTTTTCTTTAAATTGGTGGTCTTTGATTGAGACCAAAAGTTTACTTCAGTTTTGAGCTATATAATATATGCCACAGGACACAGGTGAATAATAGCCCAAAGACCAACTATGGGTAGATTTTTATTTTAATGAATAACATATAAACCATAGTTCACTAGAATAAGAATATTTCTCAGGATAGGTTGATATTTCTTCTTAGCAAATCTTCATATATGGATATAGACTGCTACTGAATAAGAGCTCCAGTTTAACAGAATCTTTCCTAAGTCCTCAATGGAGAATTTGTTCAACAGTGTCTCCTTTGGATAATATATTATGCAGTGTCTTTATTATCTCAAAGCTGAGCAGTTGAATATTCTTTTTTTAAAGATTTATTTATTTATTTTGTATATAGTGTTCTGTCTGCATGCATGTCTGCAGGCCAGAGGAGGGCATCAGATCTCATTATAGATGGCTGTGAGCCACCGTGTGGTTGCTGGGAATTGAACTCAGGACCTCTGGAAGAACAGCCAGTGCTCTTAACCTCTGAGCCATCTCTCCAGCCCCACAGCTGAATAGTCTTAGTAAAACAATTCTTTTCTTTGAGACAGGGTCTCATGTAGTCCAGGATGGCCTCAAACTCCCTATGTAGTGAAAGATATTTTGAATTCCTTATCCTCCCATGCCTACCTCCCGAGGGTCAGGATTACAGACATGTGCCACCATGCCTACTTTATGCATTGCTGGGGATGAAATCCAAGGCTTCATGAACACAGGCGAGCAAGCACTGCCAACTGACCTTTATCTACAGCCCTAGAATTGTGACTTTTTTCCAAATGTTTTACTGTCAACTTCAGTACATGTACTCACACACATTATAAGCATCTTGTATATAGCTTTCCTATTAGACAAGCAGAGATCTAGTAAAGAGCAATTGCTGGTTGTTAGGAGTGCAAATGATAGTTAGGATACAAACTAGGAAATACTAGCACGACTCTGAATTTATCCATGCATATGTCATCATACGACATGGCATTTCACAGTAGGCAAGCACTTGGCTCATCTTGCTATTACTATTTATCAAAAGCTCCCTTGAACCAACAGCAAAGAGGTACTTGTTTTTGTCCTTGTCTTGAACAGTTCTTGACTGTGACTGCTCCCAAAGTCATCAACATATGTAGCATTTTAGGCAATAGGCAAAACATTATTAAGACAATCTTATATCATATTCACATAGAGAGCAAGCAGGCCAAATATAGGGAGAACAGTACCTCCTTGTGTATATATAGATATATGGATGCATATATATATATGTATGTATATATATATAGTATGCTTGCTTGGTAAGTGCCCTACCACAGAGCCATACCCCCAGCTCTGTGTGCACTTTTAGATGACAATGCTTAATATTTCTTTCCTCCAAACTCTGAGTACGGTATGAAGGATTTTCTGAGTTAGGAGTTATTTTGGTGGGATTATTATTATCTTGATTCATAGACACTATCTATAGTGGAGCCAGAAGCTTCCATTTGAGGGAAGAGACACGTTGACAGTAGTAATGTACTATTCCTTTATGTTGGTTGATAAAGGGCTTTACTTACAATGCCAACTCTACTAACTCCCATAAAGCTTACAGGAAGCTTGTGGAAATCATGGACCTCTGCCATTAATATCAAATGACCCAAGATATCTAATATGAAATTGTCATTTCAAAAAAAACCCCAAAAAACTCCAAACCTTTTGATGGTATTAGAAAATATTCATGTAATCATGTAATATTTCCATATCCAATCTATGGAAGAAAATTTAAATGTGGGGAGTTTGTTGTTGTGATGAAACTATTAAGTCCCTGCCTGACTAGTATGAAAAGTATGAAAGGTTAGAAGCAAGGAAAAGGTAATCTTTTTATAAGAGAGAAAGTGAAAGAAGGAAGGGAGGACGGGAGGAAGGGAGGAAGAAAGGAAGAAGGAAGAGGAATGAGAGAAAGAGGAAAGAAAACAGAAAAGAAAGAGGACAGAAAAGAGGGGAAAGAAGGAAGGGAAAGCTTTTCAGTGAATCCCACAGAGAAAGTCAGCTCAGGAACAAACCAGCGATTGAGCGACCACTCAGACTCCTACGTCATCCATGTTAGCCGCCAATAAGCGTCTTTCTGTCTCCGTGGTGAGAGCGGTGAGCCAGAGAACCAGTGGGGCTTACAGACCAGGCCAGGTGAGAAGGACAGAGCAGCCGGAGCGGTCATCCCTCTTTCCTGTTTCTTTTCAGCAGTAATAATGGCCCCAAAGCACACCAGGTAGAAGCACTCAGAGGATAATTGCTGGGACCCAAAGGCATGGTTCCTGGGATTTAGAAAACTGCAAAGCCATTTAGATGTCCAGGACTGTTGTGCCTGCTCCGTACTACTTCCCCCTTGTACTCTGCTATCTGAGCAGCGGACAGCCAGGGCGCTACACTGCAGCCTTTGCCAAGGCTGTGTCCGTCCAGTGAAACGCCTGGTCCTAGTGGGCCTGGGGAGGAGACTGTGCCCAAATCTCATTCAGGGCCTTGGTTTTTAGTATAGAAAGAAGTCTCCTTCCTGTTACAGGAATGCCAGGTATAAGTCAACAATGGAGGGGCACATACTCGGCACAGGAAGTCTTCCTGGCACCCCTGGAGTGAAAGGTGCCTTGCCCTCAACAGACTTCTGAAGAAAGGCAAAGGCAGTAGTCAGGAAGGTTCATATGAAAGCCTGGAGCCTGGTCCCCGGGTGATCACCGTCTGCACTCCTCACGGGGCTCAACAGGCAGTCCTTGGCTCTATAAGCTGCCAAGTGTCTGGTTCTTTAGTCAACGAGCAGGAAGACTCTTTAGTGAATGCTAGCCTGCCGTACTCAAGAGCCGCCAGTCCTGTGGCAGAGCGGATTCTGTAAAGGGAAATCATATGTAACCTTGGAGCTATATTTACTTTTCAAATGCTTCTCATTATGTTTAATACCAAGGCTATATTAAACATGAATTGCCATGGCATTAACTTTTTGAAAAATCATTTATAAGGAATTGGTGTACATAAAAAAAAGGAAGATATAGAGGAGAAAGAGACAGTTTTATGACTGAAAGATAAATAGTAGCCTTCCTTCAGGAGAGAAGATGCTGGGAAATCCTCAAGTCTGTACATAATATTCAGTTTTTTTCCCCAGGCAGTCAAATGCCAAGCTGATGGGGGAGAAAGGAAAATCTCCGGAGGTTTTATGATTGGCAGATGATTCAATAGGGGCACATGTAAGGTGATCCAGTTAGAGAGGACCAGATATTCCAAAGTATACTTGCAGGCTGGTAAATGATGATCTTTCAATTAAGACTCAGGAAAGAGCTCTAAGAAACCCTGTGGACAGTCCCCTGAAGAGAACAACTTAGTGGCCTGCTACGGTTAAAAAAAAAAAAAAAGCCAACAAAATGTTGAGCACTGTCAAGAAGGAGATTAAAAGACAAACAAAATCATTTTCCTTTTCCAGAGAACCACAGGACATCTTCATTGGTAATGTTACATAAGCAGTTCTGATCTGCACATCTCAAGGACAGAACACAGCCTAAGGGGAACAAAGAAGGGCAATTAAATCATCAGCGACAGGCTCCAGATTTTTTTTTCCAGCCTGACAATACAGAGTTATCCGAGGGCCCCCATGACGATTCGGAAGAGGCTAGTGCTGCTGAGTGACTGTGGGGTGACTTGCTCCACCGTATCTCTCGAGCTAAGAGGCACCTTTGAAGTTTTTATTTCTCAGAGTTGGACTCTGTTGAAACAACTGCCAGCGAGGGTGGCCAGTACAGGCAGGCCCCTCTGGGAAGTCCCTGCTCTCCACCAGCCATCGGGAGAAATGGGAGCAGGGGGCGGGGGCGGGGATTAAAAGGGTTTCTGTCCATACCGCTCACCTTCAGTGAGCCTGACCAGTAGACTTCTAGTCAGACTTACCTTGTCCACTGCCACTGTCGGCAGGAAAACGGTGCCTGACCAATCTGAGTTTGTGTGAATGTGAGCTTAACCTCTCTCCATTCTGTACGACTCTTAGACCCCAAAGGTCTTCAAACCAAACTGCCTGCCTATATATGCGCATGCTGGTAACTTGATTCTTAACTCTAGGTTAAAAAAATTGGGCCTGGGGACGGATGTAGCTTAGTGTATACAAGACCCTGGATTCTATCTCCAGCACAGAAACATCCCCTCTTCTCCAATCCCCCTCTCTTACTCTCTGACTACACTTTCACTAGTCTGGTAGGTAGAAGACAACAATGAATGGTAAATAATTAACGTCAAGTCTAATATTCATGCCAGTGGAGAAAAGCACATGTCTCCATGAGAAAAAAGCTGAAACATACCCTGTCGGGCTAATGAAACAACACACTTGCAAAAAAGTAGCAGTGAAGGGATTCCCCAGGCCAATCTAAACGCTTTTATTCTGGGATGGTCTTTATCATACTGTATAGCAGGTTAGGTCAAACCTAGGTCTCTGGTCCAGCTCTTTAGTCCTCTCCAACAAGGGATGGTTACCAGATTAAATAAGCATAGTAAGTCCTATCTAAAAGCTGTGTGAGCCAGGCATCATGGTGCATGTCTTTAGTCCCAGCAGTTGGGAGGCAGAGGTCGGTGGATCTCTGAGTTCGAGGCCAGCCTGGTCTACAGAGTTCCAGGACAGCCAGGGCTACACAGAGAAACCCTGTCTCAACAACAACAACAAAAGTAAAAGCTATGTGAGCATCCAATGGTTTTCATTTTCCAGTTGTTCCTTGAAAACAAGAACAATTGTGAGACTGAAAAACATTGCACCTTTCAGAGCTCCAGTCTACCTGCAACTAGCTCAGTGTCACTGCCATACCTTTCACAGATGTGATAGTACTTCTCATCCTGTATGCCATCTTGAATGGGCACATTGACACTGTAGTAGCGGCCTTTCCCCAGGCCAACATCCGACATGTCACCTGTTCCTGTAAAAGACAGGAATGCTGTGATCAGTCACCAGGAACACAAGCACTAGGAAACTCAAAGGGCTGTCCAAGAGCAATTCAGAACAGCAAAGTGGTCAGTTAGAACAATTCTAAATTCTTGGTTGTTACTGAGGAGATGAAACGATGAAAATAACCTAGAGAAATACTAATTACAATGTTGTGGGAAGCATGAAAACAATGAGGAAATTGAGAAATATTAATTTATATCTTAGTGGATGAAATAAAACATTAACAGCTAACATCACATGTTATTTGCAGTTATCAGAGTTACATGTGGTGTGTGATAAAATAATAAGCGGCCTGTTTGTTGACGGGCCGTAAAAATCACATGGAATTAAAAAGACTATTCATTGTCATTGTCACTTGAAGTGATAGGAGTTAAAACTCTGCATAGAATAGCACAAATAAGGTGTTAGCAGCATGGAAATATATAAAAATAAGATCTAAGAAACATGTCAAAGAATTGTAGTGTCTAGACATGTAACGTATGGGGAGCACGCAGTTGACTTGCCTGGGAAAAATCCTGGGGAGAATTTGTGCAGGGACACAGTCATAACTTTGGATGTAAAACTGAAGGCGTCTTCTACACCTGCCCGAGAGAAAAGTCAGAGGGATCACTTCAGATACACAAGTCCTGTTTTCAACACCTGACAAATCTACCAGGCAGCTCTGGGAAGAAGGTGAGAAGAGAAGGCGGCTGAGACAGATAATGAGTGGAGAATTCAAAGACCACGAACTGCTGGTTTCTGCTTTCAGTAATTACGGATGGGGTAGAACATAACCTCAGTTCATGGCAAACTGTAACTGCACTTCCCTTTTCCAAGCAACAGGATGTCCAAGTTCACCATGACTTCTCTTCTAAATGGTATAAAAGAGCAAGAGCCACACAAGTGAGTATAGAAAAGTGGCACTAGCCAGGCAGGTTCATGGTCTGTTCTGTTTAAGCGTTTCTAGTTAAATTCTTGGGACTTTTCCCCAAGAACTCTATTATGGTAATCCTTTAAAATATAACCAACAAATCAGTGATTAGGCTTTATTTAGTTAAAACTTAATGATGAGGTGCCTCTCTATAATATAGATTTGGTTATAAAAGTGGGTAATCCAAAGTCCCATGAGCACTAAGCAACCTACATCTTTCTGCTGGGGGAAAAAAAAAGTCATGGCCCTGTTCCTTAACAGCTCCTTAATCAACATATAGGAAGATGTCTGTTTATTTATTTACTAAAACAAATGTTTGTATTTTGGAGCTGCTTAAAGGAAGCGAGAGAAATACAATTAAATTCTTTAAACCCAGGATAGTAATAAAACTTTAAAGGAGCTTGCTGCTTGCCAACTTCAAACTGGCTTGGTGTATGCCCAGAGTAAGGGGCACCTTCAGTTGTTAATAGCGGCTTTAAAACTGTTTTAAAGCCTGCAGGAAGATGGGCGGGGGGGGGCGCGGTTGTGGACAGATGTCTCCTTTCCTCTTAAACAGTCAGCAAATGACTAGATGCCCAGGAGATAAAAGAAGCTCGGGTTTAAAGTAACCCCTCAGAAGCCACTACTTAGGTCTTGGCCATGCTCCCCAATGCTGCGCCTTCCTCTTGGGCTCAGTCATACCCAGACACTCTGAAATGGGAGGACCATTAGCAAATCCAGGTACTGTGCTCCTTTCTATTTCAAACAAAGATGTTGTCTCTGTGTTGACTTAAATGTATTTAAGTCTTTATTAGAGGCCAACAGAGACCTTACAAAAATATGAACTCTATTTGTATATAACAGGTATGTTTGAATTTCCCAAGCCTTGTGTTTTGCCCTAGGGAGGTAGTTAAAACCAGTTAAAGACTCCAGGCAGAAAGCATTAAGTAAACAAAATAAAATAAATGAAAATACCATTTCAACAGAGGCAGAAGTACTAAACAAGGGCACTTTATGAAAATGCTAATGATTTATCCACCCAGAAATGTAGCAATTTACATTTCTACCAATCCTGTATGCAAATTCCTGTTTTCTCCTGTGATGACTAATGCTGGTGGTTGTTGTTTCTTTTAACTCTTGGAATGGCTCTCAGCTGCATCTCTCTCGGTATTGGAGCACTGAACACCGTAAATGCTGTCAGGCATGGTTTAAAAAAATCACGAGAGGGAGGAGAGAGGTTGGGGAGGGAAAGGTGAGGGTGGGCAGGAGTGGCCAGTGACGCACCCCAGGATGCCAGTGGCAGAATCACGGGAGATTTCAAATAAAGCAAATGTGGAAGAGTTTGGGGGTAGGGCAGAGGTCACTGGAAAGGAGGTGCTGAAGAGGGGAAATAAAGTGAAATGAAACACACCGTAAAAGTTGGCTGAAACAGGAAACTCTAAATGCTGTAGAAATAACACGGCAATTGGAGAGAACGGTTTCAGGTGACAGTCTTATTTCATTTTTACATGGCTCGGCAGAGTTGGTCTATTTTTGAACTCTGGATACTAAATCTCTGAATTCCATAAGCATTTGCTCATTCATAAAACAACCATTTTACTGAGTTGCTACTATATGCACAGTACTGACAGAAAAAAGTAAGCAACTTGATCTCCGCTCTGGGAGAACTTAACAGTTTCTGCGGGAAGAAAAGATACAGATATTTCATTTGTAAAGGAATAGTACAAAACAATACAACATGAAACAGTGATTAGTGTTACAAGATACAGGGCGTCGGCCCCACAAGAGTGCTCGTGGGCTGCAGTGGCCTGGAGAGCCATTGCTGGAACTTGAATGAATAGGCAGAATTCAGGGCTCCAGTGAGGGAGGGGCAGGTGGCTAAACTAGGGAAAAGGGAAGTGAAGTCAAGGGGGTGGGGTCAGAGAAACGTGTCTGGAACAGTGAGACATGCTCATCGGGTAGAAAAATAGCAAGAGATGCTTGGAAAGACGAGGTGAGGCCTATTTGAGGCCTTGAAAGGTGAGATAAAGAAAGCCTACTTTTCGAAGCCTGGTGGCAGTGCGGCACACCTTTAATCCCAGCACTCGGGAGGCAGAGCCAGGTGGATCTCTGAGTTCGAGGCCAGCTTGATCTACAGAGCATGTTCCAGGACAGCCAGGGCTACACAGAGAAACCTTGTCTTGAAAAACCAAGCGAGACAGAGACAGACAGACAGACAGGCACACACACACACACACACACACACACACACACACACACACACACACACACACAC